CACACTTGGACTGTGGAGCCCACAGTGTGCATCCAGACACCAGGTCTAGATGCCTGTCTTCTGCTTTTCATTAGAGGGAACAAATCAATCAGAGCAGAACAAATGGTGCTGATTGTCTTCACTGGCACTGCTCTGGGACTACATGTCTGATTTATTTATAAGTTTTCAAATGAAGCTCTTCTTATTAAAGGGATAGAGCTGTTAATTTTTAAATATCCTGTTACTCCATCTCATTCAACTTTGCTGACCTTAGGTATTTAGAGAATATTTTGCTTCTTGACCTGAGAAGATTCAATGTCCCAAGACAATTTGGATCTAGATAATATGTTATAGAAAAAATGCATAGCCTCACAATAGATATTTCTAATAATTTAGTAAAGCTATTGTTTTCAATATGTTAAAAAGGGAACACAAGTTATTTAAATTTTTTAAAGTTTATCTTTAGAATATGTTATAGAGCAGTTAACTCTTGAGAAGACAAATCCTTCCTATCTCTTGAGGGCCATCATTTTAATATTGGACTATTGCTATTTATTTTACTGACATGAATTTGTTTTCCACTTATGCACACATATTATAATAAAGATAAATTTTCAGGTAAAGAATAACTTAAACTTAACAACTGGAGCTTCTGGATCATTTCCTATGAGAAGTACGATGCTGTCCAACACAGTACTGTTCAAAATTAAATTAATTAAAATGAAAATATAAGTTTCTCTGTCATATTAACCACTTTTCAAGGGCTTAATAGACATGTCTGGCTAATAGCTACCATACTGGACACCTCAGATGTGTTGTTGTTAAGTGCCATCAAGCTGATTACAACTCATAGGGACCCTGTATAGGGTTTCCACAGAGCAGTTGGTAGGAACTGCCAACTCGTGAACTGCCAACCTCATGGTTAGTAGTCCAGTGATTATCCTATAGCACCACACCAGGATTCAATAGATGTTATTGTTGTGAAGTGCCATCTAGTGGGTCCTGACCCATAGCGACCTTGTAAAGTGTTTCTGAGGTGTGACTGTTATATTGAACTGGTAACCTTTGGTTCAAAGCAATTTTGCAGTACGGCGCATTAACCTACAGCGCCACACCAATTCTTGAAGAAAGTCCTATTGGACAGTTACTGTAAAAAAAAAAAAAAAAAAAAGGTTCTAAATGAAAATGTATATATAGCAATGAGTAATGAGCTCTGGTAGCGTAGTGATTACGAATCGGGCTGCGAACCTTAAGGTCAGCGGTTCGAAACTACCAGCCGCTCCGAGGGAGAAAGATGAGGTTTTCTACTCCCGTTAAGATTTACACCGTCGGAAACAATGTAAAGGATCGCTATGGGTCAGAACCAACTCGACGGCACTTAACAACAACAACAACAATGCTCACACAAATACATATACTGCACATATGTCAATATTTTAGACACATTAATAACTGGAAGGATCCCACCACTTAAAGAAGTACAGAAAAAAAAAAAATTAAAGAACAGAAACTTCAGTTTGTTTCATAAAATCTATCAGAGGAAAGAAAGACCACTAAAAGAACAAAGAATGAATTTAACTGCAATGAAGCTGAATATATATATAAAAGAAATACAGCAGGTAATTTCCAAGGCTTATTACAAATGCCTTGAAAGAATGACTTTGAAAGTATATTTTATCTTTTAGCATTTTACATGATAATGACTTCAAGATTAAAATTATGGTTTGGATAATAACGTGGAAAGCATGATAGCTGTCATATAAAAAAGTTACCAAGCAATATCAACTTGCTGATTATTACCCAATCACCTATATTATTTGAAACCTCCCTTGAACCAGAGGTGGATTTTTTTTTTTAACAGAATAATAGGCTTTTTATTCTAGATACATGTAGATAAAATTTCAGTACCTGCGACTTCCAGTTTTCAATATAGTTTATTGGTTTTATCTAAAGGAGAGTCCAAAAATCAGATTTTAATATTACTACACTGATTTTTTTTCTTTTATACATACTGCATCTACAAATTTGTCAAATTATGGTGTTCTCATGTTTGACATTTAATTTCAAATGATCTGAATCTATCTAGAGAGGCAGGAACAACTAATCATAGAATACATTTCCAAAGAAAATTTGAATGGAAGGCAGCAACAGACACATGGAAGCGAGATGCTTTATTTGACACCAATATGTAGGTGAGGAAAGTGGAACAAATAAAATAAGGGGTGGTGAGAACAATTTAACAAAACCTGGGAGGAGATTATAAGATAAAGAAAGGAAGGCTAGAGGAATCAAAGTGCGTTTTGTACAATACTGTATCAGAGGTGGGAACTCATCAATGATAGGGCAAGTCCTGAATCTTAGAACAAAATCAACAGTTTACATTGGTTTAACGAAACTCTAAAAATATTATAACCGCGTTTTCATGATCTATTACGAGTTTTCTTTTCTTTTTTTACACTCTTGTTCAGTTGAGAACTATAAATAATTACTGCCTTTCAGCATCAAACTCTTGTGACTAATATAGGAGGTTTAACTATGAGTATGTGTAAGTACGATGGAATCCCAGTCACTCAGCTAATACAAAAATGACATCTTTCAATATCACACTTTAGTCAACCATGCTTGTTTATCTTACAACAGATTCTATATCTTTGCATCTTTGCAACAGAACAGCAATATCAAATACACTCTCTTTTTTTTTTTTTTTTGGTTTTGTGGACTATAGTATGCATACACTGCAGTTAACTATATTAAAATTGCTCATAATTGTTTTAGAAATTTTGAGTACCATAGAAATAATCGAAAGGAGCCCATGGTGTAAAAAAAAATATCTTTAAACAGTTGTGATTCATAGGATTTAGTGTGTTTTTGCAATGGAGAAATAAAATGAAATAGAATTATATGTCATAGTGGATTACCAGATGGGCTACAAACCACACGGTCAGCAATTCATATCTATCAGCTGCTCTGCTGGAGAAAAGATGAGATTTTCTACTCCTGGAAACACTTAAAATTGACTCCACAGCACACAACCACCATCACCATATTCATCCTTAGTGCAATGCCTACTACCCTATGTTCTTAAATTTACTTTTGTGTTAAATTTATTTAATGTGTTAAGTAGACCTTGAGAATTAAATCTAGGGTTACTTTTAAGTTTAAATCATTTGTTGATGCTAAACAATAGTTAACTGCCATGTTATCTTCTCTAGACTTGCAAAATAAAAAAAAAAAAAGGTTTATGAAGTCTCTGTGTGAAAACACAGGATGAGGAAATTTAATGATCTATAACTCATATTAGTTTACCAACCTCATGGTGTGTGGCACAGTGAGTTAATGCGCTGGACCACAAGGTCAATTTGAACCTCAAAGTCGGTGGTTCAAATTCACCAGCTGCTCCTTGGAAACTGTATTTAGGCTTCCTATGAGTTGGAACTTACTCTATGGCACTTAACAACATGCTAAGATCGGAGGCCTGGTATGGCACTACAGGATAATGCGCTGGACAACACGGCTGGTTTGAACCACAAGGTTCGTGATTCAAACTTACAAGCCTGTCCTCAGAAATCCTATACAGGGTCACCATTAGTCGGAATCTACTCAGTGGCACTTAACAACAACAACAGTGCTAAGATTTGCACAGGCCAGCATCATCAGAACATAATGGATTCTCTAAAGCTTCTCTTTTTTGTTCTCTGTTAGTCTAAATTGTTTGCATTCAGACAATTGCACCGTAAGTTTAATCACAGGCCAGAAATATGTGGAGTATATTCTTCAAGACTGATGCTAATCATATTAGGATATCAGTGGGGCATACAAAAATGAATTGAAAATGAAAACCAGAGATTGAGATTGCAATTTACATGTATTTAGAAACACGTGACCAGTTCACCATCAGCAAATTTCTCTTTACCCTTTTCACATTTACCTTCCATTTCAACAGTTCAGATAAAATCAGAACAGCCTAACCTATATGCAAATGATCCTAAGGATCAGTCTGTATGTCTTAGAGTATCGCTTCTCAAACTTTCATATGCCTATACATCATCTGGGGATCTTGCTAAAAATGCAGATTATGATTTCAATACAGGTAGGGACCAAGATTTTGCATCTTAAGTAAGCTTTAAAGTGATGCTGGCGACCAGAATATTCAGTCTTAGAGTAACAAAGTTTTAAAGTACTGTACCATTTGTGAACTGTGTAATATTTCATAGATTACTCCAGATTGCTAATGTTGACTGCAACATGACAGTTTGCTACATATATTTTAAATGATATCCTAAAAATTGTACCAATTATGATAATATGGAGGAAAAATCATGCATATTATATACCTACGTACTTGCATAAAATGGAAAAATTTATAATGTGCCTAATCAGAAATGATAAATGATATCTGCATTGTTCAGCAAATCATTTCTATTTTGCATTTCTGTCATTGTGGAAAACTACATTAATAGTGCAATTTCTAACATATGAGCTATTAACTTTTTAATGACATTTATAAAACATTAGTGGAATTTATGATGTTCCCCAAATATGACACTGTCATGTCACATTTTATTACAAACTCATTAAGCACATTTAGTTTAATTGTCTGAAAACGAGATGCTGAATGCATTATTATTATTATTTTTTTGCTATTGACAGACACTTATATTTCATTCTTTTCCTATCCACACACAGAGAGATAAATATTTTTCCCTTTTTCACAAAAGGGAAATTTTGAAACAACAATGGTCAAATGTATTGTTTCAAAAGCCTCATTCTGAAAATGCTAGGTTGCACTAGTTTATAACCAATTAAAAATATATGTATTTTTTAGTTTTTAAAATCATAGCTATAGAATTATTTAAATATAATTCTATTTTTCCTGAATTGTGTTTCCTGAAATATTCCTGAATTGTGATGTCAACCCTATTCCTAATAAGTTTAAACAAAACTCTCATTATTTTGTTTTATTAACCATTCATTTTGTCAAAGTATGATCCAAAGAAATCACACCAAAATGTTATGCTAACCTTCAAAGATACGACTGTGACCACATTCAGATGACATCTTGTCAAAAGATGTTTCCCCGCCTTTCTTGTCTGAATCTTTCACAGAATCATCCGACTGGCTTCTAGGGTGACTCTTAAATGTGGGTGAACACAAACTTCGCTCAATTTCCACTTCCTGTTAGAAAACATGAAAGGAATGTGTGTTAAAGCTATCAGTGGGAAACAGATGTGGTTTTCAGGGGGTTTAGAAGGCAAGAGTGAGAGATGGAGGGGGTTTCTATCATGAGTGATGTTTTCCAATGTGCTTGAGGTTAAATTTTGATAACTTTGCTGAGAACTGCAAACACATATCTGATGCTTAGTTTACTTTTCCATCACTGGTTCCACTTCTGAATTAGCTTTTCTTTCATGTGACATTTTTCCCCCCCTTCATAAAGAGATAAAGTGAAAATAAGGGTCACAAGACAACATAATATATGTTAATAGATGCAATTTCCTAGGCCTGAGAAATGTCGATGGGGGAATTACAGAAAATAGCAGCGTATCTACAGTATATGCTTAAGACAGAAAGAAATGAGATTTTTTAATGTCACGTTAACTCTATAATGATAATTTTAGCAATTATAGAGCTCCTGAAATACAAACCAATTCAGCCACTATACAGTAAGCACAGTTTGTCAATTCATAAACATTATGAAATGAGTTCTCTTGGATGGTAATTTAAAAGTAGAGACATAAAGAGACTCCCAAAGATAAGTACAAAGGAGATTTCAAAGATAGGGGGGCCTAGTGCTCCTCATCTTATAGATCAAGTAATCTAATCTAATAAACCAAAACAAGTCAATCACACTAAGTGTTTTGAATAAAAAATTTAAAAAGCAAGTAAATGACTCAGAAGAAAAAGTGCAATTTTTTAAAAAAAATAAGTAACGTGCTAGAAATACTTTCCATAGCTGCTCATAAGATTTAGATTTTTGAGCATGAGCCTGTAATTTTTAAACAGCAGTCATTCAAACGATGTGATAAATTGCTCTTCACCTTTGTTTCAGTTTGAAAACACTGGCGGGAGAATCTAGTGTGAAAACACAACTAAAGGTTCTAAAGCCTTTTCTAGAGTAGATGCATTTGCTATCTACTTTATGGTGGGAAAAGGCTAGGTTCTTAGAGAAGAAACCCTATTAGTGTTCTTTCTAATTTGCATGTCCATTTAATATATATCACTCATATATGTTCAATCATCTCATCTTTAAATGCCCTAATAATCTCTATGGTATACACTATCTTCATTACTATTTACCTGAACGAAAACAAAAAATTGTATGTATAGGAGAAACAGAGGAAAAGAAAGCTCCATTTTTTTTTTTTTTTTAGGATATTACCTTTAACATTTGTGTTTCCAACTCCTATCATCCTATCAAAACCCTAAATGTTCATAACATACATTGATACTTTAGTTTGCTGCCATGCAAATTTCAGACATGTGGGTATGTGCCTTTAGCATCCGGCCCTCACTTCATCCCGTTGTTCTCTTCCATTGTCTTATTGTAAAGTAACTGCAACTCATTTGACAAAAATAAAATGAAATAACTAAAGAGAAAATGAAGAGCCCTAAAACAGTGGTAATTATATTTAAGGATATTTATGTTAGATAAATTAAAGGGTGGAAGGCTGAACATGGTCATGGACTCAGACTGATACGTTGTTGTTGTTGTCAGGTGCCATCGAGTCAGAACCGACTCATAGCGACCCCATGCACAGCAGAATGAAACAATGTCTGATCCTGGGCCAACCTCACTACTGCTTCCACACTTGAGTCCATCAATGCCAATCCATCTTGTTGGGGATCTTCCTCTTTTTCTCTGACCCTCCATCTTACCAAGCATGATATCCTTCTCCAGCGACTTTTCCCTCCTGACAATATGTCCAAAGTATGAGAGACGAAGTTTAGCCATCCTGGCCTCCAAGGAGCACTCTGGCTGCACTTGTTATTTTTGGAAGAAGTGCAGACTGATATAGTGAAAGAATAATCTCTATGCAATGTAGAGAAACATGGAAATATGGTCTTGTAAAATTTTAAGCAACTGTCTCAGCCGGTGATGACATTGCCATTTATTATCAGTTTGGCATTCACAATATCAACGGTGCAGTATATACCAAGGTATGAGGGACACCACAGAGGATACAACCTGTGATCCAAGTCATTCTGTGGCAAGTTTCTTAAGACTCTGGCAAAGGGTAAGCTAGGGAACAGCATACAGATATTAAATAATTTCTCAGATAAAGTTGAACTGAGCTGTCTTCAGTAAAAGCAGCAATCTGCCTTAATCTCTTTTAATCAAATTTATACATTGTGCTTTTATAAAAGATTAACTTTGAACAAAAATGGACAGGCTATATTAAATCAACAAAACACTAGAGGAAAATGGCAGCACTTGATAATGAAAGACTTGTATTGAAGCTCTCCATCGGCTACTAGCTAGCGGCGCAACTTTGAGTCACTTGACGTTCTTAGGGCTATGTTATGTGAAGTGATTTGATCACTAAAAACTTAATCTTTAACAAGTAGTCACTGGTAGAGTAAACGGATTTGAAATATGATTAAAATATATTATTCATCCTTTGTAACTTCCAGTCTAGTGAATGAAACAAATTAGAGTCAAATACGTACTCCAATGTAAATGTGCATTACTTACACCCCCAGAAAGGAGAGATATATGAAGTTACGAAAGTCTAACAAGAGGAAATGAAACTAGTAAAGTAGGTTTTGTAAATCTCCCAAGGAAAAGATCTTCAGTTGATATCTGAAGGATGGATGAGGCTTAACTAGATGAAGAAAACATGTGGAAATATGCTGTGCTTGGGAGGAAAACAGTGATTAGAAATGGTAGAGGAGTAGAGACTCTGATGAGAACATGGTGCTGGATGACCTACAAAGGTAGGTAGAGGCTAGCTCATTAAGGACCCAGTGGGCCATCTTAAGTAGTCTATTCATCTTTCAAACTTCAGGCATATTATCAGAAGGGGCAGTACATGGAGAAGGACATTATGCTTGGTAAAGTGGAAAGTTAGCAAAAAAGAGGGAGACCCTCAACGAGATGGATTGGTACAGTAGCAGCAGCAATAGGCTCAAACATAACACCAGTTGTATGGATGGCACAGAACTGGGCCGGGTTGCATTTTCTTGTGCATAGGGTTGCTGTGAGTCACAGCCAACTGGATGGCACCTCACAGCAGCAACAACAGCAATTTTTATCAAAATGGGAAGTTATTGAAAGGTTTTAAGTCCACATATATGTATGTATGAATGTGAGACATAATCAGGTGTGCAGTGTTAACTGGAATCCTGGAGTGGTGCTATAGGATAAGCACTGGACTGACAACCACAAGGTCAGCATTTCAAACCCACCAGCCACTCCTTGGAAACTCTGTACAGGATCACTATGAGTTGGAACTGACTTGATGGCACTTAACAACAACAAGCAGTGTTAAATGCTCAGTCTGTCACTACAACAGAGTTTCCACTTTGGTCTATTTTGGACCAGATGATTCTGGATCCCTGTCCTCTTCCAGTAGTACTGCACCCAACTATGACACTCCAAAATCACCAAATCTTTTGTGGTGAACAAAATCACCCCAGTGTGAAAACCACTGTTCAAGAGCAGATGAGATTTAAAGGAAGTCATGTTGTACATGGATGGTCAGTTAGGAGCCTATTGTGGTAGTCCAGGCTAACAATGATGATCTTAGAAAAGGAGTGGTAAAAGAGATGGAGAGAAGCTGAAAGCTCTTTAGGATATAAACCTGAAATTTTAGGTAATACGTCAAATCTGAATTTTGAGAGAAAGAGAGGTATCAAGGGTAGTTTTTATTTTTATTTTTATTTTTGGTGAGCTCTGGTAGCGTAGTGGTTATGAATCAGGCTGCAAACCTTAAGGCCAACAGTTCGAAACTATCAGCGGCTCCGCAGGAGAAAGAGGAGGCGTTCTGCTCCCATAAAGATTTACAGCCTCAGAAAACCTGTACAGGGTCGTTATGGGTTGGAACCAACTCGACGGCACTTAACAACAACAACAACAGCACTACTGAATGGACTGTGGCACCATTCAACAGCAGAGACCCATAAGAAGACTGATTTTGGAGAGAAGATCATAAATTGCGTTGTATACCAGGATATTTAAAAAGTAATTAGAAATGTGGTTCTAGAAGATAGAGCAATGGGATTTGAACTCAATAAATAATCTGTGAGTTACTTGCTCTGTTATTTTTGTGATTGTTAGGTACTATCAAGTCGGTACCAACCATTAGCGACCTTATGCATAGCAGAACGAAATAATGTCCGATCCTGGGCCAACCTCACTACTGTTGCCACGTTTGAGTCCATTGATGCTGCCACTTGGCCAATCCATCTTGTTGGGGGTCTTTCTCTTTTTATCTGACCCTCCACCTTACCAAACATGATATCCTTCTCCAGTGACTGGTCCTTCCTGACAATATGTCTGAAGTATGAGAGACGAAGTTTGGCCATCTTGGCCTCCAAAGAGGACTCTGGCTGCACTTCTTCCAAAACCGATCTATTGGCTCTTTTGGCAGCCTGTGGCACTTTCAATATTCTCCTCCAACACCATAACTCAGAAGCATCAGTTCTTCTACAGTTATCCTTATTCGCTGTCCAGCTTTCGCATGCATATGAGTTTATTGAAAATACCATGGATTGGGTCAGGTGCACCTTATTCCTCAAGCTGACATCTTTGCTCTTCAACACTTTAAAAAGGTCTTGTGCAGCAGATTTGCCTAATGCAATGCGTCGTTTGATTTCTTCACTGCTGCTTCATTGAGTGTTGATAGTTGATCCAAGAAGAATGAAGTCCTTGACAACTTCAATCTTTTCTCCATTGATAAGAATGTTGTGTATTGGTCGAGTAGTGAGGATTTTTGTTTTCTTTACATTGAGATGTAATCCATACCGAAGGCTGTGGTGCTCTTTATATTCGTCAGTAAATGTTCTAAGTCCTCTTCACTTTCAATAAGCAAGGTTGTATCATCTGCATATCACAGGTTGTTAATGAGTCTTCCTCCAATCCTGATGCCACGTTTTTCTTCATAGAACCCAGCTTCTTGGATTGTTTGCTCATCAGACAGGTTGAATAAGTACGGTGAAAGAATACAACCTTGTCT